CCTGCCCCACTACAAACCCATAACCACTGCCCTAAACACATACAGCCAATCACTAGCACCATCCCCACACTCATACATGTGCCCTTGTCCGTTTAGCTTTGCTGACTCCCCAGGGCCTCATACACTGACTCCCTGTGAGCAAACTCACTGTCAGGCATAAGGTTTATAGGCGGGCCTTGTAGGCATACTCACGGTCAGGCCCTCTGGTTCCTGGTCTGGTTCCTGTTCGTTGTTTTTTGTAAGCACTGCATCCAGAGAGTGTGTCTTAACAAAAGACCAGTTCTGCCAGACTGCAGCCTGAGCCCATCATCATCCTCTTGTCCTCATCTGGTGGTAAGTAGGCAATCCAATATATTATTAGTGGCACTAATTTCTAATTTACCTCATATTAAAGGGACACTATAGTCACCAGCGTAATGTAGTGGTTCTGGTGTCTATAGCCTGTCCCTGAGGCTTTTTAATGTAAATACACTGCCTTTTCAGAGAAAATACACACTGCAGCACTGGTGTTGGCTCAAATGGGTCTGCCATATTGCCTCCCACGACTCCAGAGAATGTCTCAGTGAGCAAGAACAGCTTAAGGACGTGAAACCACATGGTGGGCCGAGCATATGGGGTGCGGCAAATTTGTTTGCCTACGGCGGCAACAATCCTTGCACCAGCCCTGACTCCTTATACACGCAGTGCAATAGAACTACAGTTCCTTATACACACTACTTAAACATACTCCTAGGCCTCCAGTGACAGGCCATCAGTCTGCTCCTTGCAGTGCCCTCACCTTCTGACCTGTTCCGTGAGGGGCTATGGGCAAATCCAGACCTCATGCGCGCTCCCTCTAAAGCGCTGTTCCCTCTAAGGTTTTAGAGGGAGCGCGCGTGCCCACTTTAGAACCTTAGCGGGAACAGTGATACTGGTGTTAAACTGTATATTTAACACCGTTCTAAAATCACATCAGAGTTATTAGGAGAATTAACCATGGTATCCCCACCCATGCGGCCCCTGCTTACAGTAACATAGCTTAGTGGTACAAGTCAGTCCCTCATAGGTTTTTTTTTTTTTTTTTATGTGTTTATCATACAGATCTTCAGTGTACATATACAGATTTTCAGTGCCAGGTTGTTCAGGTTTCTAGCACTGCAGGGGTAGGTGTCAGACCTTGTGGTACATGCCCATCACTGGTCCATTATCCAGCATTCCTGATTCTGAGCTGAACAATTTGTTTCAGACACTGATTGGTCTCTGGCCCCAGCGGATAAACTATGGACTGTGCGGAGGGATGGGGCAGTCCAGCTGAGGACAAAACATGACCCAGACATTCGCCCACCGGTCACAGTACCCCAGTTCTTTGCCCAAGCAGTGAAGCAGTACAGTCAGAAGGTGGCACTGTGTGTGAAGCGGGCAGATGGGTGGCATGACATCACATACGCAGAGTATGAGCAGCAGACACTGTGTGTAGCCAGAGCGCTCCTGAGGGTGAGTAGAGTACCAGCTCTGTGGTCCAGGCATACTTCACCTGTGTGATTAGGCACATATTCTTCATATACAATGGTGGCCCTTGGCAAGAGGCCCTAGTGGCCCAAAACAGGTGATTGGTTTTCTTTTTATCAAATTGAATGTTTCCTGAAAGGCTCTATAGAAGCCCCTAGCATAGATTCCATCTTCTTCTCATATAATCTTGAGATATGAAAATTCCTGCAATTCAAATGATCTTAATGTCTTTCTGGAACTACCAATACATTGATGAAGTGCATCCATACTGACTGCTCTAACAAGCGCTATGATCCCCCTCATTGAGCTTCCTCTGCCTGGGTTGCCATTCTGTATAAATTATTTTAGAATGTCTGGTGCCCTCTTTGTTCTTAACTCGTGTCCTTGTTTTGTAGTTGGGGCTAGAGCGTTTCCATGGGGTTCTCATTCTTGGATGGAGCTCTCCAGAATGGTTCATGGCAGCACTTGGGTCCATCATGGCCGGGTTAGTATCCCATCTTTCAGCCTGGATAAAGATGTATGTCTTCAGAATGGGCCATGCCCCTTATCTTA